TAGGGAACAGGAGGAAAACAAATGGGAGTGTGGGGCCGTTGCTCAACAACTCAGGAAAGCTGGTTACCAGCACCCAGGAAAAAGCTGAACTCTTGAATGACTACTTTGCCTCAGTCTTTCACCAGATCAAAGAGAGAACAATGCCAGATAGAGTATAGGATGAGCATGGTAGGAATAATCACCTTCCTACTATTGCTGTAGGATTGGTGTATGACCAGTTAAAAAATTAGATATATACAAGTCAGCAGGACCAAATGATCTTCATCCAAGAGTGCTAAAGGCGCTTGCCAAAGTCATTGCAGAACCCCTAGCAAAATTCTTCCGCAACTCCTGGCACTCTGGGGAAGTCCCTGAGGACTGGAAGAGGCCAACGTTGTGCCCATCCACAAGAAGGGCAGGAGGGAGGACCCGGATAATGATAAGCTAATCGACCTAACTTCCATCCTAGAGAAAATCCTAGAAAAGTTCATCAAGGAGTCCATCTGCAATAAGCTTGCAGAAGGTAAGATTATGAATGACAGCTAGCATAGCTTTGTCACAGGCAGGTCTTGCCTTACCACACTCATCTCCTATAAGCAGGTAACTCCCCACCTGGACATGAGAAAGCAGGTTGACGTGGTATACCTAGACTTTCAAAAGGCTTTTGATCTAGTATCCCACGATGTCCTCACAAGAAAATTGGAGGATTGTGGGCTTAACTCTGAGACCATGAGGTGGGCAAGAAACTGGATGCAGGATAGGACCCAGAGAGTCATAGTGAATGGATGTGTATCATCCTGACAAGAAGCAGGCAGCAGTGTCCCTCAGGGGTCAGTGCTTGGTCCAGTACTTTTTGATGTCTTTATTCATTATTTTGATGTTGGGGTGAAGAGCTCGCTGGCCAAGTTTACGAATGACACCAAGTTACAGGGAAGCGTGGCCATGCTTGAAAATAGGCTACAGATACAGATGGACCTAGTCAGGCTAGCAAGTTGGGTGGATCGGAGTCTGATGACGTTCAACGTTAAAAAATGTAAAATGCTCCACCTCAGGATGAGTAACTCCCCCAACACACTGTCAGGCTTGGTGGCATCAAACTGACTAGCATCATGAATGAAAGGGACCTAGGGGTAATAATAGACTACAGTATGAATATGAGCTGGCAGTGCAATGCTGTAGCCAGTAGGACAGATAATACTCCGGCATGCTGATGCATCTCCAGCAAAGCCAAGGATGTTATTCTTCCACTCGACTCAGCACTGGTGAGACTGCAGCTTGAGTACTGCATCCAGTTCCGGGCATCAGACTTTAACAAGGACCATGGGCAAACTTGTGTCAAAAGAAGAGCCACCCATATGATCAGAGTCTTACACAGCAAGCCATATGAGGAAAGGCTGGGGGATCTGGGACTCTTCAGAGCTGAAGAAAAGGAGGCTGAGAGAGGGGACCTGGTAGCAGCTAACCAATATACTAGGGGAGTACATCAGGTGCTCAGTGAGCAACTGTTCACCAGGATACCCTTGGGGAAAACTAGGAGGAGTAATGGCCACAAACTCCTGGAAGATCAATTTAGGCTCAACATTAGGAAAAACTTCTTCACAGTTAGGGTGTCCAGACTGGAATAAGCTCCCTCCAGAGGTGGTGCAATCACCTACCCTGGAAATCTTCAAGAGGAGACTAGACAGTTGCCTTGCTGGGGTCACCTGACCCCCAGTTATTTTTCCTGCTTGGTGCAGGGGGCTGAACCGGAAGATCTTCCAAGGTCCCTTCTGTCCTTACAATCTATGGAATTTGAAAATATAAAGTCCAGAGAGTAGCTTAAGGACCTGTTTTCCTTCACTCGTCCCTGCTCTCAAGCACTGTGCCTACATGTGCACACGTACCATGGATGGCTTATGGTAAGCTATCCATAGGCTCTGGAAAGTAGGAGCAATTGCAGATAAAAATCAAATTCTTATGTCCAGTAAAAGCTGCCTTAACTGGCACCTTATGAGCTGGCATGCTCTATTAACTGACATGCCAGCTTGTGAAGTAAAAGTAAAACCAGAAGTGCCCACCATGGCACTTCCGGTTTTGCTGAGCCCCAATGGCCCGGGGCATAGCAGCTTGTGCGGGGCCCACCTCCCTGTCCCTCAGGGCCCGCGAAAGGGGCGGCGATATGGCAGAATGGGCAGCAACCCGAATAGGCAAAGACGCCTGTTCAGGCCTCTCAGTTAACCAGCATATTTTGTTATCCGGCACCCCCCATTCCTCATGGGTGCTGGATAACAATGCTTTTGCTGCATGTCTCCAGATCTTTCAGACAACATTGTCCCCTCCATGTCCACTTCTGTTTCAAGGACAAAAGCAGACTGCATAATCCTGGGAGGGAACAGAACACAGATATTATTATAATAATAATAATAATGCTTCTAGGCCTCTGTTTAAAAGGTAAGAAAGAAGGCTTATTAGGACAGAAATTCATATATTAATGCATAGTGGGATATACCCATTTTAAACCATGCCTTTACTATGAAAAGCAATCTTAAATTTTAACTTACTCAGACCTAGAGTGGAATGTTTTTGGTTCTAAGGCAGAGAAGATTTCATAGACATTAGGGCTGGAAGGGACCTCGGAAGATCATCGAGTCCAGCCCCCCGCCCAAAGGGCAGGAAGTCAGCTGGGGTCATAGGATCCCAGCAAGATAAGCATCCAATTTGCTCTTGAAGGTGTTCAGAGTAGGTGCTTGAACCACCTCCGATGGCAGGCTGTTCCAGACCTTGGGGGCTTGGACAGTAAAGAAATTCTTCCTTATGTCCAGCCTGAAACGGTCTCGCAGTAGTTTATGACCGTTCAACCTCATCATCCCTTGGGGCGCTCTGGTGAACAAACGTTCCCCCAGATCCTGGTGGTCACCCCTGATAAACTTATAGGTGGCCATCAGATCACCCCTGAGCCTGTGCTTTTCCAGGCTAAAGAGCCCCATGGCTCTCAGCCTGTCGTCGTAAGGTCTGTTTTCCTGACCTCTGATCATGCGCGTGGCTCTTCTCTGGACTCTCTCAAGCTTCTCCACATCCTTTTTGAATTGCGGAGCCCAAAACTGGATGCAGTACTCCAGCTGCGGCCTCACCAAGGCCGAGTAGAAGGGGAGAATGACGTCCCGGGATTTGCTTGAGAAGCATCTATGGATGCAAGCCAGCATTTTGGTCGCTTTACTAGCCGCAGCATCGCATTGCAGGCTCATGTTCATCTTGTGGTCAATGACCCCCAAGTCTCTTTCTTCCATAGTGGTAGCCAGCATAGCACTGCCGAGCCTATAAGGATGCTGCAGGTTTTTCTTCCCAAGGTGGAGAACTTTGCATTTTTGCAGTTTCTGTGCTAACAGCAGTGTGTGGCAGAAGTAGGGAGCTGCGCCTGTGCTACAGAATGGACATCAGGGTGTACTGTGCATTGATGTGGTGTGAGCGCCCAAGCAGGATGCCTAGTGTGGATGCTGTGAAGTTCACTTACCCCAGTACAAAGTGCAGTGCTACAATGGTCTAACCCAGTAGTGCTCAAGCTTTTGGCCCTGTAGGCCAATTGAGTGGTCTGGGGCTGGGCTGCAAAAAGAACCTATAGAAATAATTATTTCTCTGGAAAATAAGATTTGGCAAAGTGCATGTATTGCGAGTTAAACATGTTGTTCATACGACAATGTAATTAGTCTTATTAATGCAATATTTCTGACTGATTCTCAGTTTTATGCACCTTGGTGTGGCCATTGTAAGAAATTGGAGCCTGTGTGGAATGAGGTTGGAATAGAGATGAAAAACATGGGATCTCCAGTAAAAGTTGGAAAGATGGATGCAACTTCCTATTCTAGTAAGTATGGCACGTATAGTGGGGTTTTGGGGTATTACCAGACTTTTGGCTTTGAAAATACAGTGACTAGAAGGCCAAAGATGGTAGAAAAGGGTTATGTGGGGAAAATCATGTATATACTTGAGGAGTTTGACCTAGAAATGTATAGCTATGTTTGTTAATTTATGTTCCACTATTACTGATTTTTTTGACTCGGGCTCCTATTTTAACCCTTCCACAGAAATCTTATGTAATTAACACAGGCAGAAGAGAGAACTTGTGATATTTTCTTTATTTTTAAAAGGCAGCAATACATTCACTCTTCTCCATGTTATTCATTCCTACTTGTATTTCAATAGGATCTTTCTCACTTGTTCAACATAAAGGCTCTTTTTCTTTTCTTTTCTATGGTCTTCGTAAGGGACATGCTCTACTTTAGAGTCTGCCCGGAAGCACAACTGGTACTGTTTTAGATTTGCGTATTTTGCTGGTGGCCAGGGAGATGTGTTCACACTTCTGGTGTTGTAAATTGTTTTCAGGTGGCCAGTGGGCCAGCAGATGTACCCATGCTGTGTGAAAATCCATTGCCTCATGGGATAACAGGGTTCTCATTAACCTTTAAGAAAACTTACTGTATTTTCTCAAATGCAATGTAGGGGGAGACTCCTACTGCTGCTTCCCTACTATATGCCCATTCTGCTCATTTCCTTCTCCACCACAGCCAGTGTTGGGACACATTTTAAGATGCCCTTCCCTCCCTCCCCCCCAAGTAATTGAATTCTGTATGTTGATGAAAACTTTGTTGTAATAAATTTTGTCATAATATTCCATGAATAGTATCTAATAATTGGGGGGTTATCTTAAATTCGACATCACCTTGGATTCAGGTAAACAGGATATCTGTGATATTTTAAATAAACTAAGTATCTTTTAAAATTATATTCTATAAGCATCATTATTTAAAAAATCATATACCTTTGTTTAGCACCAAATCCATTCAACTGTGAACTGACTAGAATAGAAACAACTACAGTGGTAATGATGCTACTTCTCTTGGTCTTTTAATGTTTATGTTAATGCAGATCCTCATGTGTGAATCTCTGATCATGGGAAAATCCAGCTTTCATTGGTGGTGGGGGGAGATTGTTACTAGCGCCTCACTTCTGAAAAGAAACCTCAAGAAAAAATGATCTCTGAAGGCTCACAATAAAGAAAGCAGACAAAAAAACCCTTAGTCTGAAGATTCTAATAGATCGCTTTTACATTTTTATTTTTATTTTTTTTAAAGTGTGACACTTGCAAATGACACTGAAATTGAGGGGTGCAGGGTAAGAAATGGAGAGACCTAGTTGAGGTTACCCCAAAGCAAGTATCAGTATGTTGCAGTTTTGGATCCAGGAATGGGGCAAGAGGGTGAAGTCCCCCTGTCTGTCTTCCCTTCTCTCCCCCTGCCCCCCCAGTTTTGTGCATGAACAGTGAGATTTGACTTTGCTGCCTGGTTAGCATGGGTTCTTCTTGAAGCTCCATGATAGCAGTGAGCTCTGAGCTCGCCAGCTGACATGAGCAGGGTCTGGCTGGAACCTGAGCTTCAATATGGCTCTGGAACCAAGGGGCTAAGCACTGCTGCTTTTCATCCTTCCCCTCTTCTCCTCCTTGCTTAATTCAGTGACAGGATGAGCATCAGTGAAAGCATGTACTCTAGCCAGATCCCATACTGAGCTCACATATATGTCACAACCAGAAAGGGGTGTGATTATTCTGCCACATCCCCTCTGGATCTGCCCTTTGTGTGTGGTGTTCTAGAGAGCTGCTAACCTGCTTTGCATTGCTGAATATCTGAACATCATCACTCTAAGCACTGGGTTTCTCTTGACAAAGGACTAGAAAATCATTTTGTCCTCTGCTGCAGCTAACACCTACACAAGTAAGGTTGTGTTGGGTAAACAAGGCTTGTGATAGGGTGATCCATTTTGGAAACACTGCTGCTCTGCACATGGGCTTACACTCTTATGTGATTACACTTTTAACTTGCCTTGTTCTTGGCAAAAATGACTTATCAGCATTAAAAATATGTAAGGAAAGTACACAACCTTAAGTGTTCTTCCATAAAAATGTACTGTGTTCTTTTTGTTTTTCTTTGAAATACCGTAGCACATCATGCTTCCTATAACTTTCTCTTCTCAACCGCACTTCAATTTCCATATGGCATGTGCAGGATTGTATAATAACTACTAGTTGTTTTATATAGATATTAAGTGGACTTTTGGGGTTCATTATTTATTTGCACATACAATTTCAATTAGAAGTCTTGTAACACACTTCCCTGTATTTTACACAAACGTGTGTCCTTATGAAAGCTTTGACTTTTGCAGATGTGCCGTTCTGAGTTAGACCAATATTCCATATAGCGCAGTTTCCCATCTCTTGACAGAAATGAATGTTATGCGGGTAGAGCATTGAACCAGGTATCTCTAGAGTGATCTATCTCCCATTCAGTATCCTTCCTGGCATCCACCATTTATTGAGTTCAAGATGTCAGAGTAAACATCTCCAACCGTTCTGTTCCATAGCCGTTATAGCCAATCCCTTTTTGACCCTGGATGTGCATTCTGCCTCCATCACCTGTGGCAGTAAATTCCACATGATGCTTAAAAAATACCTTCTCTTGTTAGTTTTAAACCTGCTGCCGACTGATTTTAGCAGGTGCCTCTGAGCACTAATATTCTGGGGCTTAGTAAACAACAGTTCCCTGTTCACTCGGTTCTCACCTTTCGTGATTTTTATACAACTTTATCATATCTCATCTCAGACTTTCCTTTGAAAAACTGAAGAGTCCTAGCCTCTTTATTCTTTCCTGGTATGGAAAGTGATCGTGTTGGCTTCCATCCTCTATACCTTTTCTAATTATGCTACATCTTTTTTGAGATGTGGGGATGAGAACTGTACACAGTATTCAAGATGTGGGCATGCCATGGATTTGTATAGTGAAGTGATGGTGTTCTCTGTTTTGTTTTCAATTCCCTTCTTAATGATGCCCAATATTTTTTACTGGTTGCTTTGGTTGCTGCTGCATATTGAGCTGATGGTTTTTAAAGAACTACCTAGAGTGATTCCAAGGTTTCTTTCCCGAGTCGTAACAACTAGTTTGGAGCCTATCAATGTGTATGTATAGTTGAGAGAGTGATCAGGACTCATAGTAGAGTTGATATCTTTTATTAGACCGACAAGGTTTTTGCAAAAAATTGCTTTAATTGCAAGTTTTTGGGCACAAACATCAGGCATTGGAGAAAAGATTGTAAAAGTTCTTCTGGGTAGAAATGAAAGTTCATATTTCACAGGATTTCACAGAGGAGCCAATAGATGGAAAATTCCTCTGGGCACTTGGTTCATAGCTGGTATGGAGTCTCTCAGCTCTATGTGAGGTTCTGTGATGATGCAAATTACCTTGCAACTAAGGCAGGAGCAGTGTCTCATGTTTTACAAACTTGTACAATCTTATCTCTAATGCCTGATGCAGGGTGTTTGTGCCTGAACTTGCAATTAAAGAATTTTTTTTTTGCAAAAATCCTGTTGATCTAATAAAAGAGATCATCTCTACTACGAGTCCTGATTGCTTTTTCCTTTAGACCAATATGGCTACAACCTGGATTACCTATGTAGTTGAAGTTATTTTCCACCAGTTGCATTAGTTGGTACTTGTTATATACTTTTTTTTTTTTTAGAATATTAAATGTTGGCAAGGTGTTGGCCTGTTAAAAGGCAGATGACTTAAGGCTGTAAGAAGTAAATCCTGTTAAAAGGGAGCACATGTTTAAAACTGTGTAGAATTGGAGACATTGTTTGCTATTCTTTCCGCTTCCCTTTGTTAAAGGTGGGCTTTAATTTAGTGGATTTGCACCACTCCTAATATAGCTACTGACCAGAGTTTTTTGGAAGGAGTGATATGCAGGATCTCTTCATGGGGAGGAAGGACTTTTACAGCCAGTACAGTAGTGTTCATCTGTTTTGGAGAGTCCATGTAAGACAGTGTTTCCCAACCTGTGGACTGCTGCGGGAGCAGGATCAGGTGCAAGGAGCTGGCTGCCTCCCTCCTGGGGCTGTCCCACACATTACTGCTGGCAACAGAAGCTGCTCGCTCAGGTGGACAGACAGGGGTCCGAGTGGCCTGGTGGCTGGGAATCTCTGGTGTAGGACACTCAAATGTTGTACTTGGGGGAAGAAAGGGAAGATTTCATAGATTTCTAGGATCAGAAGGGACCTATTAGATCATAGAGTCTGACCCCCTGCTCTGGGCAGGAAAGAGCGTTGGGGACAAGTGACCCCCAGCCAGGTGCTTGTCTAATCTCCTTTTAAGCACCTCTAAGGTAGAGGAAAGTACCACCTCCCTTGGAAGCCCATTCCATATTTTGGGAACCCACAATGTAAAGAATTTCCTCCTGATGTCCAATCTAAATCTGCTGTCCTTCAGTTTATGGCCATTGTTTCTAATAATCCTTAGGGGCGCCCTGGTAAACAGAGTATCCCCTATTCCCTGCTGACCCCCTGATGAGTTTGTAGACAGCCACAAAATCACCTCTCTGCCTTCTCTTGCAGAGGCTGAAGAGATTCAGGTCCCTCAGTCTGTCTTCATAGGATCTTACTTGCAGGCCATCAACCATAGGAGTAGCCCTCCTCTGAACCTTTTCCAGGTTATCCATATCCCTCTTGAAGTGCAGTGCCCAAAATTGGATGCAGTACTCCAGCTGCAGCCTCACCAGTGCCACATAGAGAGGAAGTATAACCTTCCTAAACTGACTTGTGATGTACCTACTAATGCAAGAAAGTTTGATTAGCCTTATTACCTCATCACACTGGCAACTTGTGTTTGTTTTTGCATCTACTCTGATTCAAAGATCCTTTTCCACTGCTGTGCTACTTAGAATGTTACTTCCGAGTCTATATGTATATTGGTGATTCTTTCTCCCCAGGTGCAGCATTTTGCACTTAGCTTTGTTAAACTGCATCTTATTCTGATCCACCCACTTCCCCAGTTCATCCAAATCCACCTGAATTCACTCCCTACCCTCTATAGTGTGTTTACTATACCACATAGTTTGGTGTCTTCTGCAAATTTGAACAGAGTGTTTCTACACCCTCATCCATATCGCTGATGAAGATATTAAACAGCACTGGTCTAAGGACAGCGCCCTGGGGGACACCACTGCCCACATCTCTCCAGGGAGAAACCAGCCCATCCACCAGCACTCTCTGGGTGTGTCCCATAAGCCAGTTTTCCATCCACCTGACTGAAAAAATCCACATCACAGCTACTTAGTTTGCTTGTAAGAATCGGGTGCGACGCTGTGTCGATTAGCCTGTTGAAAATCCAAGTAAATAATATCTACCTCTACTCCCGCATCTAAGCTAAGCTCTTTGTGATCTGGTCATAAAAAGAGACCAGGTTATTCAGGCAGGATCTGCCTGTTATAAGCCCATGCTGGTTGCCCCTTAGCATTGTATTCCCCTCTAGCCCCCCACAAATGTGATCAGTATGATTTTTTTCTGAGGTCTTGCCAAGAATAGAGGTGAGGCTAACTGGCCTACAATTACCCGGGTCCTCCTTCCTCCCCTTTTTGAAAATAGGGACTACACTGGTCCTTTTCCAGTCCTCTGGGACCTGTCCCAAGCGCCATGAGTGCTCAAATAGTTGTGCCAGTGGTTTTGCTATGACACCAGCCAATTCCTTTAGTACCCTTGGATGAAGATCATTGGGGCCTGCCAGGTTAAATACGTCCAACACCTCCAAGTGCCCCTTCACTAGGTCAGTGCTAACCACAGGTGGATTGGTATCTCTCCCATGCCAGACTAAAGTCTTATTGGGAGGTGTGTTTGTATCCATGTCCATGAACACTGATGCAAAGAAATCATTTAAGAGCTCAGCTTTGTCCATCCTATCCGTTACGAGTTGCCTCGTAATGGCCCTATGTTACCCTGTGCTGCCACCTTGCTCCCTATGTACTTAAAGAAGGACTTATTGTTGTGCTTAATCTTTGTTGCCAGCCTGAGTTCTGTTTCTCCTTTGGCCTTCCTCACTGCTTTCCTGCAAGTGCGAGCCAAAGAGGTATACTCCTCTTTGGTGGCTGCCCCCTGCTTCCACAGCCTGTAAGCCTCTCTTTTCCCCTCTAGTCTCTCCTGGATTTCTCTGGTCAGCCAAAAGGGTTTCTTGGTTCTTTTGCCTCCCTTTTATGTGTACTGGGATGGTACCCCTCTGTGCCTGCAGGATCAGTCCCTTGAGGAACTCCAAGCCTTCCTGGACTCCCAACTCACAGATGTTGTTACCCCTCTGTCCCACTCTAACTAGTCTCCTGAGCTCATTGAGGTTGGCCTTCCAGAAGTCTAGCACTTCTGCCCAACTAGTTATTTTTCCCACCTTTTGCTGGATAGTGAATCCTATCAACAGGTAGTCACCATCTCCTAGGTTACCTTGTACCTGCAGATCCCCCACCAAGTCCTCCCCTGTAGCCAGCGCCAAGTCAATTAAGGCATTTCCCCTAGTGGGATTGCATACCTTCTGTGTTAGGTGCAGGTCCTCTTTGCAGGTTAAGAACCTACATGAACAGAAAGACCTGGCTGACTGCTCCTCCCAGCAGATGTCCGGGTAATTTAGGTCACCCATAACTAGCAGGTCCTTTGAGCGTACTGTCTTTGAGCGCTGTCTCAAGAATTCTAGGTCTAACTCTTCCTTCTGTTGTGGGGGTCTCTAGTAGACCCGCACTACCAAATCCCTTTCATCCCTACTCCCTTGTAATTTGACCCATGGGACTTTGATTTGCCCTTCTTCTGTCCTCATCATTTCTTAACATAGGGCACAACGCCCCACTCCCTTTTTTTTCCCTAATCTATCTTGCCTATATAGCCTGTAGCCCTCAATGCCCACTGCCTAATCATGGGTAGGATCCCACCAGGTTTCTGTTAGTCCAACCAGGTTGAAATTTTTGTCTGCAAGATTAATATGTTCTTCACAATTTTCTAATGTCACTTATTCCATCCCTCTATTTAGCATGAGTTGGTTCTTATAGAATGCTCCTTTTATTTTTTTTCTATGATTGGCAAGTATGATTGGGAAAACTGGGGCTTGTGAGAGAGACAGTATTTTAAATCTCCCCTCTCAAGAAAAGATAAGTTAATTCTCTTAAGGTATAAACTGCATTTATGGATTTGTTGCAAGTTTCATGATGTTTTCTCCACAACTGGCTTATAAATCAGCTTAAAACATTGAGACAATTGGCTTATGTCTTTTTTTTGTTGTTGTTGTTTTCTTTCTCTGCACTCCTAGGTACATAGGTCACCTATTGGTTTCTACCACTTATTTTGGTGCTGTGATGGTCAGTTCCATTGCAGTGTTATTCTGTTGGATTTGTATTTTTTTTCCTGTAATGTTTTGTGTGATGCTTCTGTTCATGACTTCACGTGATGTTTCTCTTCTGTCTCTGGGTAGTGCCTATGCCTGACAAAGAAGTTCTTAGTAGCATGTGCCTGTCATTGTCTTGCTAAGTTGACTTTGTTAGCTTTCTTTGTGTAGAATTGCTAACATAAGGAATTCTTTTAATTAAACTTTAGGCATGTTCCACAGACAAGGGATGATCTTCTCAATGTTGTGGATTTTCATGGCTTTGTTTCACAAAGGGGGAAGAGCATGATGCATTAGTCCCATATCTGTATGCCAGTGCTCATTATACGGGGGGGGGGTTCCAAATCTTTTCAGGCTTCTGAAAGTTTTTGCTCTCCTGATTTATTTGTTGTTTGACATCTAGTATACTATTTCTATCATTTACGTATGTTGCTCTTTGGATAACTAGGCTTCTAGCGGAATATTTTGTCTTCCCCAATAAATAAACAAACTGGCCTGTTTTGCTAATACCCAAGTCTCGTCTTCCATAGAGGTTTGTTTGTTTTTTGTTTTTTGTTCCCCCCCCCCCA